ATTTATAGACCAATTGTCACCAAATTTGGTACATGGGTCAAGCCCTTGTGCTCGATGCTTCAAAAAAAATATATATTTTGGTGATGATCCGAGGTCATTTGAGGTCACATGGGTCAATTGAAAGGTCACAGTATTATAAAGGATCGGCAATTTCTGTAATTTCTGAACCATCTGCTTCCTAAAATATTCACCCAATCATCACACAAGTTGGCACACACATAACCAGGATACACTGGATGTTACAGGTTGAAACTGGTCAAGGTCACTTGAAGGTCAAGGTAACAAGGTCAAATATGCGTTTTTGGTCATAACTCCACGAAGGATCGAGCTCGAGCAACAGGAGTGTCTCAAAATCTCAGAAAAAATATTATCTATTTATAATTCTATGCATTTGTATCATAAAATATTAATAGTTTTCGAGATAATCACTAATTATAACAGTTCCTTTCTCTTTCAGTGTATGACGTTAAAATTCTAACTGGAACAAAAATAATTTCCATTTTTTCTTTTTCTGGTGAAACACAACACACTGATCTACAGTCACACAACTAACATGTACAGAACTCATGAAAAATACAATACATTTTGGTTACACTCTAGTGAACACAGACATTCTCCTGTGTGACCAATATCACACTAATGTTCAAGGGTCTGTACAGATACACACATTACATTGTGGATATAATGATCATGTAATATGGTCTGGGCTCCTCAAACTGCCTCTGTGGTGATGAACTGACCCACCAACACCTCATGGGGACCAGGTTGATATCTCTGACTGCACTTGTTCAATATATTGTGACAGGCCACAGTATTATTGTGACACTTTTGACGATACAATATACGATACGATATTTCGGTTCTTGTTACATACCCTATTCCACAGTATGGTCATGTACATGGTCGTGGTCGTGTGCATGGTCGTGTGCATGGTCGTGTTCATGGTCGTGTTCATGGTCGTGTTCATGGTCGTGTCATGGTCGTGTACATGGTCATGGTCGTACATGGTGTGTCACGTGTGCATGTCATGGTCGTGTACATGGTCGTGTTCATGGTCGTGTTCATGGTCGTGTGCATGGTCGTGTGCATGGTCGTGTGCAGTGCATGGTCGTGTGCATGTGTCATGGTCGTGTCATGCATGGTCGTGTCATGGTCGTGTGCATGGTCGTGTGCATGGTCGTGTTCATGGTCGTGTACATGGTCGTGTGCATGGTCGTGTGCATGGTCGTGTGGTCGTGTGCATGGTCGTGTGCATGGTCGTGTGCATGGTCGTGTGCATGGTCATGTGCATGGTCGTGTGCATGGTCGTGTACATGGTCTTGTACATGTGCATGGTCGTGTACATGGTCGTGTCATGGTCGTGTACATGGTCGTGTGCATGGTCGTGTGCATGGTCGTGTACATGGTCACATTGTTGTACAGCATTTTTCCACCTTCAAGGCTCTCAAAGCTCTTTACAGTTTGTTATTAATCTGTCTTGCATTCATTCAAATACAGATGTGGGGTTACACATTTGACCTTTATCTTGGCCCGGCTGTATCACCTGCTCGTCTCCATGGAGATGAATGTGTTTTAGTGAGTGCGTATACATGCACATCAGTTTCCCGGTTATTAGCCATATCCTGGTTATGTCAGTATTCGGGTTACTACGTTTACATGCGCACTGAGAAACCGGGAATACTCATATTCGCGTATACATGATCAAATGGAGTATCCCGGTTTCTTGACATAATCTTACAAACGCGCAAGTGCAAAAATTAACTTAAATCAATTTAATAAACCAGGAAAAATATAAACCGTGAGCTCCTTTAGCGTCGGAAGCTCAGGATGTTTAACCAGCGATAAGGAGCTATGAGATCTCCCACAATCCACTGCACACATCAAACCCAACAGATTCTTCATTAAAATCTTCTGCATAAATAAACTCAACTTTATCTAAACCATAACCACTGTAGAGCCACATCAGCCCATTTGATCATATAATTCAGCTCTGATCACATTTGTTTACATTTTACAGAAACCAAACTTAAGACCGCATCGCTAATTAGCATAAACTGTTAGCGGTGATAAAAATAGCTCGTTCCTTGTGCCGCTGATGCGATGAGCTTCTGTCGGCCTAAATGACACGACTCAGTGGATTATGTGTGTTCTTTTTGTGACAGAAGAGGTGTGTTGAATAGGAGATAGTTCATGTTTTAGCTTTTCAGCGATCACACGAGTGCAGATTGTACGTGTGCAGGTTTATCATTTTACTCGTGTGGTCACTTTATTTATGTTGGTCACTTTATTTATGTCGCTACTGTTGTGGGGAAAAGACTGTAAAGTGTCTCTTGGACGCATGCACACTCAATTTTACATTGCAGTAACTGGGATACTGCGTATACATGCCACAAGTATCCTGGTTACTATCGGAATAGACCAGCTACACTATCCCAGTTTCTAATAACCAGGATACTGCCATAACCGGGATACTGAAACTGGGGTACTGCGTGTACATGCGCCATGAAGAAACCGGGATACTCAAAAAACCCGATCATAACCGGGATACCGATGTGCATGTATACGCACTCAGTGTCCGCCGTGTAAATTCCAGGTAAAGCAATAACATTTCCACAAAGAACAGTGCATCTTTCGTTCACTCAGAAGTTGACAGATCTTTTAAACTTCATTTTCATTTTTATACAAATAATTGCCTCAGTGCCTTGAAACCATTTCGCTGTGATGCAATGAGCAGAGCCATTAGACATGATTACACAAAATGAGACATGTATTTCTCATTATTCCCTAAAGACACGAACAGCAAAACCGCTTTTAGTTTCCTTAATATTGCAATCAAATGAGTCTGATTCATTCAACGCTACCTGTTTATCTGGAGCAAATACATCTCTCAGTCTTCATCATCACCATCAGTGTCAGATTTAGCCTGAATGTTTTTCTTTCACTGCAGCTTTGTGGATGAGGGGTTAGTTTTCCTGCCACAAAACAAGAAGCTCCTGAGTTCTAATCTTGGATCTCAGATCTACAGAAAAAAACTACTCAAATTAAGTCATGCTTATAGTCACTTTTATTTTATGGTTTTTGCTTTTATTTTGATTTTACTAGTTTTATTGTTTTAGGATTTGTATGACCAAATTTTAACAATTTATGTTTTTGTTGTCTTCATTTTATGATCTCTGTGCAGCACTTTGGAAACCGCTTTATTTGTAAAATGTGCTATAGAAATAAAGTGGATTTGGATTTGGACTTTTAACTTATTAACTTTTGATTTTCATTTAAAAGCTACACTGCACTTTATTACTTTTTCTGATGAAAGATCTCCCCACTTGCTGACCTAAAATGAACCACAATATGGCAGTTTTGATGTCTGTCTTCATTAAGGCTGTGCAGTTTTGATTTGTGTGTCAAATGATCTCCAAACTGATTTAAAACTTAACAACATTTATTTGGGGATATATATTTTTTTAATATAAATAAGTATATTTATTTTATTGTAGATTGTAGAAAAGTTGGATATATAGTTTATTTTGGAGACGTTTATGTTTTTCTATGCATTATTTCATGTTCAAAGTATATCTGCTCTGAGGTAAATAGTTGTAGCTCATATTTATTTTCAATTTGAAAGTTTTGTGTACATTTTCAATAACAAAGTGTTTGTTTGTTTTTTTGAGAGAGAGAGAAATGCTGAATAAATGCATCGTGTAACTAAAAAAATAATCATTTGAATAAAGGACAGTCCATATGAAATCAGCAGTTTTCAAGGAATCTCCCCTATGAGCCATCTCGGATTTGGCTGAAATAAAAAAAAAAAAAAATCTCTAAAATTACCAAATGAAAGAATCTCAAATTTTAGCCCAATCCTTCCAGTCCTTCCTGAGTTATGGCCCGTTGAAATTTTGCTCACTTTTTCAGAAGCCTTAATTTATAAGCATGTTTGAGAGAGCATAACTTCATAAAAACAAAAAACAGAGCTAGGAAGCTGAAAATTTGTATTATTGTAGATTTTGGGTCATAGATTCTAAATTGTATGTATTGTCAAATATTGGGTATCTTTATTAAGAGGGGTGCTCTGGGCCCCCAAAAATCTAAAATTTGGTTGCCGCTCAACTTTTCTCAAGGTCCAAGATCTATTTTCTTCAAGCAGATATTTACAAACTAACTGTTGAACGTGAACAGGGTGGAGGTCCTATTCAGGGGCAACTGATTTCATAAGGACTGACCCATAATCGTGACTTCAGTATTGACCAAAAATAATCGTGATAATGATTTTTTTCATAATCGAGCAGCCCTTGTATCCATAGAGACAGATCAAACCAAGTTACAGATCAAGAATGAAATGCATGATATTGTTGACTTAAGTCTCCTCAAAGTCGTGTATAAAGCAAAGTGCAATGTATTACCTGTAAATATTCAAAAACTGTTTGAGATGAGAACAAGCTACTGCAATTTAAAAGGAACCTACATGTTTAAAAAACCCAGATTCAGAACCAAGGTTATGGAGCGAAACGTCGCTGTGAAAGGAGTTCACTTATGGAACAGTCTTGACAAAGAAATAAAAGAATCAAGTACAATGATGACATTCAAGAAAAACATAAAATCAAATGCAATGTGTAAGAAAACTAACTTGTTGTGCATAAAAGTGAAGATTTCTGTTTGCAATTGATCAGTAATTGTGCCTGAACTGATATGGAATGTTTAGTAACCGTCGGTGTTGATGTATTGTATTGTAAGGGAAAGGGGGGCAGATAACATAAGATTTCTCTTCTTTCTGCTCCTTTTCATTCATTTCTTGTATGTCTGATGTTGTGACACTCTTGATGTCTCTTTATACTTAAATAAAATAAATAAATACATGATTGAAAAGAGATTTTGAGCAATAAAAATGCAAGACAGGTATGTTTATGTTTAATGGAACATACTGATTAAAGCTATAATATCTCCATGGAGACAAGTAAGACGCACCTTTAAGACTGTCCCAGTGTAAGAGCAGTAAACAGACTCACCAGTGCTGTGATCCTGGTCTTGGCGTTGACCGCGTGTTTCAGAGACAGTTTGATGATCGACGGCAGACGTAGTACCACCCCCTCCATGTCCTGCTCCCCCCTCATGCCCCCCGCCAGCCTCCCCAGCCCCTCCACGTACGTCCTCCAGTGGGGCTGCACCTCCACAGCGCCCCCTAGGCAGCCCTGCATCACCGCCTGGCACAGTCCCTTACAGGCCACGGGCTCCAGTTGTCCTTGGCAGTGGGGGCAGTACCAGAGCCTGAGCAGGGAGCGGGTGCAGTCCCTCCCCGGGCGCAGGTGGTCCGTCGTATTGACCACTTCGATGCCAAGATTTAGCGCTTGGAGGAAGACACGAGTGGCGAGGAGCGAGCGCGACAGCCGGGTCATTAAGAGTTTGGGGTAAGGTCCAAAAGCCCCAGAATCCTTCCAGGCCCCCCTCAGACAATCCTCGGACACAGAGGAGGGGGCGGGGCCTCCCAGGAGCCTCCGGTACGCCAAAGGGAAGAGACGCCCGTACAGAACGTTGACCATGTGGTTGACGGAGGAGTCTGAGCCCAGGATGTACAGGGACATGTCCATATAGAGCTGTCCCACCAGGCTGTGCACCCCGCTGCCCAGAGAGGGGAACTCCGCCCTCAGCAGGGAGAGCGTGGAATTGCGGCCGTGACGGAGGACCAGGTCAAACGCCTCTGTGGAGAGAAGAGACGGAGAGAGAAAAGTGAGGTGTGGTCCAGTCATCATCAAACATATGAAAGGACATAAAGCAATGCAAGTGATTATTGAAGGTTTTCAGACACAGACCAAGCAAATGTACAATTATTATTATTATTATTTTTTTTTTTTTTAAATCATGTTGAATTTTTGTACAAGAGAAAGCCTTGATTTTGATATCACAGTGAAACAACAGAGAAGAGACAAAGAGAGAGAAGTGAGGAGAGGTTCATCATCAAATATAAAAGGATATAAATCAATGCAAGTACTTAATGAACGTTTCAAGCAAATGTGTGATTTTTTAATTTTTTTTTTAAGTCATAATGAATTTCCTTGCAGGAGAAAGTCTTTAATTTTGATACCACAGTGAAAAAACACAGCTCTGAGTATAGGTTAAATGTATGTAGTCCTTTACAGTGAACTCCTGTCTCTCCTCTTACCGTCTTATGTACAATAATCAAAATACTATTGACACTTTGCAGTGATGATATGCTGGGGGTGTTTTGCTTGTATGTTTATGACTTAGATTTAGACTTAGATAAAACTTCACTGATCTACAAAGGAAATTCTTTGGACACAGTAGCACACACATCACAATATAATATAATAACAAAGGCTACGTTCACACTGCAGTCTGAAGTGACCCAAATCTGATTTTTTGGCCCCTATGTGACCTGTATCTGATCTTTTAATGAACAACAAAGATCTGATTTTTCAAATGTGACCCAGGCCACTTCGATATGTGGTCCTGAAACCGATACATATCCGATCTTTTGACATGTGACTTCAGTCTGAACGGCCAAAGCGCATTCATCCACCTACACATTATCAACAAGCCTGTTGTTTGTTTGATTTGACTTGGAACTAATGAAAGAGACAAGAGATCACGATCACCGTGAGAAACAAGTGCACCAAAGAAAGACAGATCTAAAGCAGTTGATTCATTCAGGCTCCTTATTCATGTGAGAGTCACCACTGTGAAAATAATGCTGCAATTACAATCAAAAAGTGAACACAGATAGTTACTTCATTCACGTATCAAGTATCACAACTACTCCCAGCACAGAGAGGAAGAGAGACGAGAGTGGAGAGAGAGAAGAGAAGGAGAGAGATGAAGAGAAAGAGAGAAGCAAAGAGAGAGACAGAAAGAAACAGGGGGAGACGGAGGAACGGAGGAGAGCGTGGGACGTCTGGCTGCATTGTCATATTGCTCCGAGGAGAAAACACACATTTGAATATTTTCTTTTAGGCACATAGGCACAAGGTACATTTACTGAGAAAACCAGGCAACCAAGAGAAAAAGCACAGTAACAGTAAGAGCAAGAATGACGCAAGAAAATGTTCGCACGATTCATGAAAATAAAAATGAAACATCTGTGTTAATAATTTGCCTTTCGCCTTTCAGGTCCTATATTACACAACATTGCCTCTTGTGAGCTTGAAGCCATGTTAGAAAGCAGTTCTAGTGAAAATGTATAGAGTTTAAAAACACAGTGGAGCACTCCCTGTATTAGCACATCACAAGGTGTAACAGAGAGAGAAGAACACAGCCAAAACATGCAGGCTTTGTGTGTTAGCCCGTCCAGACCTGAGGGCAAGTTTAGTACATTTGTCCTCGTCTGGAGTTTTTCCCTTAATTTTGTCATTAAAACTCCCCCTTTTACCCCCTAATGAAGTGTTATACATCGTTTTTTTCAGTACAACCTGTTATTTCACAATCTGCTGCTGAAGTTGTGTCATATGGCTGTAATAAAAGCTACAGGACCAGAAATACAAATGACAAAAAAAATTAAATAAAATCAGAAAACAAAATTATTCACACTCTTTCCTACAAAACATATAAACTACTTTTTGGACATTGTAGGGCCTTAGCTACAAAAGTGCAAAATATCAAGTCTGTAGGTACACAAAAAATATCCTTAATGTCCTCAAAACAAACAAACAAACAAAAAAGTGCAATGGCCCCATGACTTTCCTGGTGTCAGTCATGGAAACAGCTCGTGTCAGGTTCAGGTCACAGAGCCACATCACTTCCTGCATTTCCATGGTGTTTATTACATTTGGATTTGTACATTCTGAATGAAACAAACCTTTCAAATAAAAATAGCAAGGGATGCGCAATTACACTACACTACAGCACAACAGTAAACATAGCGGTCAAGATGGATGTACATGAAGACAGACATTCTGTGTTGGTAAAGATTCCCGAGATCGAGGATTTAAAGCAAAGAGAATGTTTGGTGAATTTTATCAAGCAGAAAGACGTTATTGCCCTCCTCCCTACGAGATTCAGGAAAAGCTTAATATACCAGTTAGCTCTGTCAGCGGCGCTTTACATCCGTCACAACCAAATAGCAGCGATTAGTTAAATTAAAAAAGTACCCGCCGACCGTCTAGCGAACAAACCCTAATGCTGCGAGGTCAAACAGTTTCTACGAAGTGAAACCGGCTGATAAATCAGACCACAATTACGTAGACTAAGATGCGTAAGTTGCCATTTACGTGAGAAATAACTACACTTGGAGCGACTTTTTCAATTGATCTTCAGAGCAGTTTAACTATTTTGACTCACTACACTCTTTGGCAAAGTTTGGGCCAATGAAAATGGATGGAGCGCATGTGTTTGGAGGAAAACAAAGTTCCTATTGGACACTCGTTTTCCTGACGTTATCATTGCGTGTGCATGTTACATAGGATAATGCCAGAAAGCCACAACTGTCAGTAAGTTTCTATCTTTTATCTTTAAAGAAACTACTATTATTTTGTGATTTTCTGTTACTGGGATATCGAAATACTATAATGTTTGAAAGTTCTGCCGCTTGTGTGTTGGAGGGAAACAGCAAGAGTCATTTCCAGCCACAGAGTGAGTTCTTATCTCGACTCAAATGCACCACTCTGTCTGTGAATGGGGCCAAAATAAGCCCCAGCACAGAGTCTGTCCAGGCTGTTATTGAACCACACAGGGAGCCAAGAGGAAACCACAGGGAAGAGGAGAGACAGTTATAAACAGTCCACTCAATCAATTTACTGAAGAGGCTTGGATACAAGAAGACGGCCAACTATTGTAGTTTACACATTAAAGGTCCTAGATCACACTAAATGGACTCTTGTGAGTGTTTAGTCGTGTTAGAATGTCGTTACCTCCTCAAAAACAGACCTGGAGTTGTGTTTTGTTTGTGTTTTAGTAACCCCGCATTATTAGTCTGTTTCGCCAAAGCTCAAAATGCTCCGTCGTGTCGTGGCAGTTTTCTTTTATCTTTGCTTTAGTAGAGATAGTAAATTCCAGGGCTAAAATACATGCATCCCAAATTTCGGACTTCCAGTCATCACGCAACGCATACTAGTCATGGGATTCGGACATCGGAATTGTGTGTTTGCGAGGGGTGCGCAAAAATATTGAAATATCGATATATCGTATCGTTGTGATGTGATGATACAGTATCGATATCGTGGGCTGCTGTATCGATATCACCAAGAGTATTTTTTGGTATATTTTACTGAAGTATTTTGTTTCATTGCTACAGTTCTGTTGCCTGTTCAGAGGAAGGAAACTTGTTTATGCAAAACATTTTACACATTTGACATTTTCACAGTTTTAGTGTGTGAAGTTGGTGTGTTTCATTTTCACTTTGCACAAGAAGTGGTTTAACAAAGACTTTTAGTATCATAACCATGATTTAACCTTTATTTTTTTATTGAACCATATTTAATCAATTTTAAATATATCGTATTGAATGGTATTGAATCGAAAGGTCACTGTATCAAGATATGTATCGTATAGTGGCCCATGTATCGAGGTATGTATCGTATTGGCCCTAGTGTTTGCTGGATGTCCTAACAACAAAAAACAGCTCAAGGAATGGGCTTTCCAAGCTTCTTGCTTAACAAAATCCCATTTTTTAAGCGATAGATACAGAAAACAAGCAGGCTAAGCTCACACGTTCTTGTTCTTGTGGTTTTACAGCAACATCACGTCTTGGTCTCTTTGCAGTGGAAGGTGTTTCTTGGTGAACAGTTGCTGCCTTTGGCTTTGGCGCTGACTTTTAAATTCATAACCAAGGTTGAGTGAGGGATCGGGATTTTGCTTTGCTCCACATACAAAATCTTCGCTGCAAACTCAAGATGACTTCTTAGGCAGTCAAAGGTTTCCTTTTTGGTCCTTCCTGTGGATCAATCCTGCCCATCGCCTTCACCTTTCACTATTTTTCAATTCCGTTGGAAAGAGAAGCAATTTGAACAGAGGTTTGCAGTCACACACATCTGATTCCCTTTTGCATTTATGGAGTTCGCAAACTTCTGAAGCCCATTTCTCGAGCAGTTTTCCGCTGTTCGGATCCAACAACCACACAATTACAATGTCCGAATTCCAAAACTAAAATATGATAATATCAGAACCAGAAACAAAAGTGATATGGTTCAAAAGACTAGAAAAGATCGACTTTGACAATAGACACATCCCACTGGGAAAACAAACATGGTGGTTTGATGCTCACTATTTCGGAGGATCCTTCCCAGTATGTACTCCGCGATGACCTGACGTCCGAAATTTGGGCTGCCTGTGCTACCCAAATGACTCGAGTGAAGATGTTTAGAGTTTAAAAACAAAGCGTACAAGAGTAAAATGTGTGTAATATAAGGCCTTTAGGACGTTAAACGAGGTGGTTAAAAAGAGAAGAACAGACACTATTTGATTTTTGCTGTAAATACAAAGAGTGTGAGATTTGTTTTATGTGGTCTCTTTGCTCACGTAGTTTCATTTCATTCCCGTCACGCTCCTTGGAAATCAAATGATGCTTTTCAGAGTTTGTGAATGCAGAGTCCTTGACAAAGAAAATCCAATTGTTTTACTTGTATCATTTTGACATTACAGATTTGAACGTCGATGTGAAATCTGCAGAAATACAGAAGCGAAGGAGTTTGTATCTACACCACATTAACACTTATTAAAGACACACCCTGTAACTTTTCCTGTGGAGAG